GGTTCTTACGCGGACGCGCTCTTAAAACCTTTGTTTAAATGTTCTACTGGTGTTACATTTCCTGAGACCACCACGATATCAACATGTCTTTCCAGGAATAAGCAGTGGCATGTTGATAAAGTTATCCTATAACGATTACAGTTTTTCTCTTACAGTACTTACTGCTTTGTCTTTATGTCTTTGCTTCCCTTATCAATGAAATAAGACAGGGTTGAATATTTTCTACTTAGCTTCTATCTACACGCCTAAAAGTTGTGTGGATGAACCCGCTTAGGATAGAGTGTCTTCGCGGGATTGGATAGGGTTAGCGTTGTATAGCATTAAACCTGTTTATCTAGAAATTCAATGTTGGTTTCACTTGAGGGAGGAAAACAGTCTTCAGAGTTCAACTAACCCCTGCCCACCATGATTCAGCTATTTGTAACGGAGGAAACGGTATAATCATGGTCGGTGGTTTTTATTTGAATGGACACATTCTATTGCAAAGTTAAGTTTGACTTGAGCAATGGGAGCTGTAGTTTTGTCGTTCATGGAATATTACCATTCAAGCAGACACATCACGAGAAAACAAATTCAATTACATGACGTGTGGGGACACGCAAAAGGAACTTCTAGACATCTGATTGGTTGTTGATTTACATCACGTGGGTTTTTTTTTTACCTTATCAATTTTCGTTTATTCGAATCATCGAATCAGTATCTGCAGACTGTTGGTCGTTCGACTTTAAAGAGGAGGTAAGATTCTTCTTGCTCGTGGTTTTTTGATATATGATCTCGAGGCGATCAAAATCGATTGTCCTCAGTGAAGACGTGAAGAGTCTCTTTCGAAATACAGTATGCTTTTTTAATGTGGTCTAGTGTTGACGTGATTTTTAAGTACAGCGTTCATGTTTACACCGTTCCAAATAATACAGACGCGATACCTTGTTGTATATTGTTCATATTTACTGTAAGTAAATTAGACGAGCATGAACTACAAACGAAGAAATCAGGCAGTCGACAGGCCTGTAATAGAGGCAATAAATTGAATTGTGATTTGTGAAAATCGATTGGGGGCATTCGTCCTGATAATCCACTTCCTTGAAGGTTTTTTTGCCATGCGTCACCGCCCATGCGAGGATATTGGAGAAAACATGTCTTTCCAAGAAAACGTTCGATGAAAGTGTGTTGAAAAGATTTTCCAACGTAGACTACGACTTCCGCTTTTAACAAGTGTGACTTTCTTTTAATGTCTTTATTGCTCTTATCAGTTAAGTAGGAAAGGTATTTATTTTTATGTCTTTACTTGCGTCGGTGCTGTAAAAAATATTCGTCACTGAAGCGACGGCGAAGATGTGAAAGTGAAAGGGGGAAAACCCTCTTGCTGACCTTTCATATTCAGATGTGACAACAGAAGACAGTTGACACTCGAAATAAATTAACATGATCACTATTAAAACAAAACTCACATGTCGCATCAATGTATTTCCAGCAACTGTGTGGTGAATCTCATTTACCTAAAACGATAATATCGATCGAGACTGAAACGCGTTATCCTCTCGCGCCTCTGGTGAAATTTTATGCCAAAGTGAAGGGGAAAATCAACCGAGCGAGACGTACGCTCGTGGGAGAGCGTGGAGCGCGAATGGCGGAAAGCCCACGACTCTTTTATCTCTAGCGCCTTTCACGCCGGTTTTCAGGGTCGTAGTAAAATTATGAGAACGCTTTGTTCACTCTTGTTCGCCCTGAGGTCGGCCAGACATGTGACCGGAGCTTTTTGCCTAAAATAGTTAAGAAAAACAAACTTGGCGATCGAATAATAAAATAATCACTCAACTCGGTTATCCCAAAATATTCTGATTTGTCAGTGTCTTGTAGATCAAATATTTGCCTCAGTCTTCTGCGTCGGCAAATAATTGATCTGCTCTGACAATCACGACATTTCTGCTCAACGTCGTCCGATAATTGTCAAATATTTTTTTTCAAAAAGGGGATCTGTAAGTAATGCTTGTTTTTTCTTCTCTTCCTCTTTGTCCTTTAGTTTGCAAAAACACAAAGAAACAGTGTAAAATGGGAAACGTTCCAGTTGTCCATGAAGTGGGAACCAGTTTTTTATCACTTGGTGATGCCATTACTGGGCACCCAGAGAAAGCTCGAGAAAGATGGCAGGCATACGCTCAAGAAAGTTTTGTTGGATCTTATGTTGCCAGTGTTGCAGAAGTATGCAAAGGTAATCCGGATAAAGCAGAAGAGTACTTGAAAGGTATGGGTCGCGCAACTGGTAAGATGGTGCTTGGGGGAGGGCTCCTGCGTGACGTTCCCGTTTTTCATGAGCTTGCTGTTTGTGGAGAGTCCCTGGGAGATGTGATAGGTGGAGGAGACACCAAATCTGCAGAAAAAAGGTGGGAGACATATGCAGAAAGCAGTTTAATTGGTGGCGGGATAGCAGCACTTGGAGCAAAAATTGCTGGCGACGATGAGGAAGCTAAAAAGTTTGCAAAAGGTTGTGGTAAGGCTGCACTCAGGTTTGGTGTTTCAGCTGCCGGGATAGCAGCCACTGCAGCCACTGGGGGGCTAGCAGCTCCCTATGGTGTCGCCGCTTCTGTTGCTACTGGGACGACAGTTGGTGGAGCGACGGGGGCCGCCTCAACAGCTCTGGTGCAGGTTATAGATAAAGGGAAAGTAGACGATGCTGGTGCGATTGTTGGTAATGGTTTGTTTGGAGGTGTTGTTGGAGGAGTAAGCGATGGGATTGCTGCTAAGAGGGCTGCCTCAAAGGCTAAAGCGCAAGCCAACAGGCCCAAGAGAGCAAGAGCAAACTCAGAGTCTTTATCGACCTCCTCTGAAGCGGAGTTTTTCCCTCAACATTCTTCCACAACAGAACGACGAAACAGCTTCTCATTTGAAGGAGGGAAAGCAAAACGAAACAGCGAATTTTCAGATGTGTGGAGTCCAAAAGACGCCGGCAAGAAGGCAGACGTTAAAGCTGCTAATGAAGCCGCAAGAATCGACATTCAAGAGTCACTTAAAAATTGCAGTAGAAAAACTCGTCCAGCCAAAACATCCGTGACCCAAGATGCGAAAGGCAATGCATATGGTACCTCATCTGTGAGGGGACCTAAAAGAGCTAAACTGCAAGATACTTTAGGCAGCAAGCAAAGCAGAGTCTTAGATTCCATCCCAGAGGAAGTCCGTGGTGTCGGGCATGGCAACTGCGCTGAGCAGGTTGCTGTGAATAACACACGTTATTTTCGGCAAAAAACCGGTGATCAGCTGTTTGCAAAGAACAGTAAAATAAAAGTGCAGGCATATGCACAAATGAAAGGCGTTAAAGGGGTATACAATGTCCCAGTGAAACCTTGTGGCTCGTGCCAAGTGGTTCTCAATGAGGTTGGCATTTCACATAGTGCCACACCAGCAATACCCGTGACGTGTGATGCCATGGCCCAAATGATTGCCGCTGGTTTGACTGTTGGCTGCAAAGCGTGTCAACATTGCCAGGAAAAGAAAAACTGACTCTCTTTGCAAAGCAACTGGAGAGTGAGTTAGGCATGATTGAATTTTTTCTGATTCGGTGTTTTTCTTTTAATTTTGACCGTAGACAGGTGTGAAAGCAACAATTACTAAACAAAGCGATCTCATTGTTAAGAAGCAAAACAGAAATTTTGCAATGAAGCAATCAGAAAGGTGTAATGGTAATGTGCAAGTACACTGAGGCATTAGTCATGGATCATTAGTTATTGATTGATAGATTGATTGATTGATTGATTGATTGATTGATTGATTGACTGTGCACATGCACTCTGATTTGTCAATTTAAGCATTATTTTGACTATTATATTTCGCAGTTACTTAGATTCAGTGTCCTTTATATGATTAGAACACTTTCAAAACAGCAGAGCAAGACCGGATAAAGTCGCAATAGGAACATTTTTTGGTGATACGACTGTAGTGTTAACTCAATCCAGATATAAACTTTCACCTGCATGGTCTTCCACGTTGCTCTGAAAAGCATGAACTTGGTAGGTTTAGTCAGTCAAATTTGATATTTGATTATTTCAGTGGAATACTGGAATCGTGCTGTGCTGAAAAAATTCCACTAGTTTCGTAAGCATAATTAACTTCAACTCCTTCCATCAGTCTTTGATCAGTTAACAGTTCTGCCTCGATCCTTATTTTAGAGTCAAAAGCTTTCAGAGCTCTCTGAAACTGAAAATTTTAGCATTTTCAACTTTTTTATCCGTGCTCATGAAAGCCAGAGAGCATAATTTAGTTGAACATTGTTTGGCCGTACAGCGCGTAATTTCACTGCTCTAATAAACTTAAGACCAGTACGTTTGGTAAAGTAATTTAGCCATTTTAATAAAGAACTTTCTAGTAAGGACATTGACTCGTTCTTTGGTAGTCCACTATTATACAGGTTTACCGTTTAGCATCAGAAATTTGGAACTAGAAAGAACCGCTCTTGACAGAAAAACAGCCACCGACTGAAAATGTATATCGCTGGCAAACCTTGTGGGTGCAGACTTTTCCTTCTCCTGACGATACGAAATGCTCGGTAATCGAACTTAACCGAACCTAATCGAACGTAATCAAACGACTGGGTTTGATCAGGTCGGCAATCGAACACAATCGAACCAGAAACTGTGTGAGAGAGCTCCCTTGCGTTCGACTTCCGAACTAATCGAACCCAAGCTAGCGCAATCAAACGCAATCGAACTTGAATCTGAAAGTCACCCCAAATGCCACCAAATATTTGAACAGCCAGCCTCAAATCGTACTAAAGCGAACCTTATCGAGTTAATCGAACCCGATCGAACTCAATGGATCGAGCGTTCGATTGCTCAACATTTTTTTTGTGAGAGTTCGATTGTTGGATCACTGATCTCAATCGATGAGTTCGAAACGTCCGGACACAATGTATTCTCCCTGAGCAAGAAAAATAACTGCAGCAGGAACATATGGCCTCACTCGGGTTTAAATGAAATACATGTAACATAAAAAGGTTAGCCACACATATCACAAGGCATTATTATCAGAATGACCTCCCGGCCCAGAATTGCCTCCTTCAGCGGTGGCACGTTACTTTCCAGGCTTGCTTCTTACGACAGCCGTGACAATCGACAGTGTCCCAGGAACTAAAGATCTAGATGGAGTTGGTTTTGTAACCAAAACAACTATTCACTTACTATTTCCTCAGATGGTATTACGTTTTTGCGGCTCCCAGGGGCCCCACCCAAGGAGGGGGGAGACCATGACAAGAGGGGATCCCACGGCTGTTCTGGATGGTGCGAATGCAAATAGCTGCATGCTGTCCTTCGCAAACTTCACAATTTTTATTGAAGTCCTCTCACTCGTGTTGTACCTCGCTAGTTGTCGGTACGTTCGCACAACCTCACTGGAGGCACACCTTATAACTATACTGTTGTGGACAATATGTTAAAACAATTAGGTATGATCAAGGAATCAATACAAAACATCTCTGTGAAAACAATAAACTTTTCTTCTTAATGGTGGCCGGGAATGGTGTACTGAACCCGTGAGAAGTATGAAACGCTCGTTGCTTGGCAACGGGCGAGAGGACAACTGCAAAGAAAATCAGAGTACTTTGTGGGAATCGAACCTAAGATCTCCGCGATACCAGTCGGACCACTGGCACTCTAAGTTGTCTATCTACAATCTTGGACAATTCAAATGAGAAATTAAGACCACCCCTTCCCCACCGCCCCCTCTCATTTCAAGAGTGGGAAAATGGCACGTTTTGCTTTGCGCGCGAAATTCATCATGGATTTTGGGGGGAGGGATGGGGGTTTAATTTCTATTTTTATTCCGTCTAAGATTGTAGATTCTATTAGTGTCCTACGGATCTTGTTAGTATGGGATACTTCGTATAAGATCCTAGATTAACAACTAAGTTCTTGTCCCTCAGTGGTTAGAGCATCCGACCGGTGTTACAGAGGTCGTAGGATTTCCTTTCAGCTGTCCTTTCGCCTGTTCCCAAACAACTAGCATAGTAATCTTTTTAAGATAGAATAAAATCTCGATTACAACTTGTCAACCGAATATCATCGAACTTAATATTATGTCACTTGATCGAACCGAATTCGTTTACGTCCTTAGCTCACGGGATTCTAAAGTATACACGGTCACACAACAGTCCGCAAGAGGCCCACTCCTTCACCCGGTGGTGTGCGAACAATCTCTTGATTATAGATTTAATCGCACAGTGATTTTGGGATTGGCGAAGTTGGCGGAGGGGGCGTTGTGGAGTAGGGAAATGCCACTTCCCTGACCCCTCGTGTCACTAACACAAAGTAGTTAATAATAACTTCCTCAACGCAGTCTTGGGCCTAATAACAGAGACGCGCGACCATAACAAAACGACCCCAACAAGACAATGACAGTAATTGCTTTTAATAAGAAAATCATGCTTATTGCGTTTACTACAAAAATAATTCCGTCATTTTCAACACCATAAATATCACAAAAAATGCTGTCTGAAAACAAGAAACATTTTACGATTTGTGTTCTGTAAGTTTGTGTCACCTCTTAAGTGCTTTTATAACAACTTTCCAAAGTTACTCCATGTGTCAGCTGACAGTTACAGTTTAAGCCAGTTCTCAGCTGTCAAATAAACACCATCCAGACCCTTAAGCCCCCGGCGTCCACACTATGCCAGAGAAATTTGAAAACGCAGCAATCATCGCTCATTTTGAATTCGTGCTCGAAGAAAACTCGGTCACTAAAATCACATCATCGTGATGTAATCGTTTCCGAATAGCTCCGTTTTCAAAATGTTTTTTCCCCCACGCTAAAACGCAAAACCGGCGTTTTCACATTCCTCCGGTTTGAAGAGCGATTTGGAAAAGCTCCGTTTGGTGACGGGTTAGTGTGGACGGTAGGCCTACCGTAGAAATAAAGCAACGTTTTGAAATTTCTTCTGCGTAGTGTGGACTGGGCCTCAGTCTACAACGCTTTTATCCTTTCAAAAGCGGCCAATACGAAATTGAATATACGAATTTTGCTTAACGGATGTCTCTAAACTTTTTTAACTGAAAAAAAAAGCTATTTACAAAACTATTCAGACGAATGTTCATTCTTGGCATGCTTACACTAGGCTTAAAAACAATAAATAATCCTACAAATAAATATGTTGTCTTCTGGTGCGTCGTGGTCTTGCCACCGCAGGGGCCGATCCAGGCATTACGACCAGGTCCTGTATTAATCAGCCCCACCCGTGGCCCCAGCGTCGTCTGAGGGGGGTGGTGCGACAGATCTCCGTCTTTCCCTCTTGCGCGAGGCCATACGTTCTTTCAGTTTCTTTTGTCGGCTCTTTTCGTCCAGGATCTGGGACGAGCGTTCCGCATGAGCGTTTTCGTCTTCCGAGGCCTCGGCTGAGCTGGCACTCAGAGATTGGCCCGGAGGAGCTAGCTGTCAATCAAAATTACAATGTTGTCTGAGTTTGTAGCACGTGTCTTCTTGTTATCCATATCGGACATTACCTAATAAGGTACCGTATCTCGGACGGTCTAATTTGGACAGCACCGCTCAGTTATTAATTAGCGCAAATTTATGCATTCTGACAATTTTTCCTCCCTCTCACTTCTAATTAATGTTGGTTGGATCCTAAGGTGAACACTACAATATTTTACGCCCTTAAAAACAAGAGATTCCTACAAGCGCTACAGCAGATATTACCTGACTTCCCGAGGGAGAAGGAGTGAGGGGTTTTGGCGCAACATATCTGCGCCGAAGCGTATTTAACTACTTACCGCTGCAACTGTTGACGCCCGGCGCTGTTCACTCTTGAATTTCTCTTCCATTTTTGCAGCTATTCGTTTCATTTTTTCCTCTTCACTGAGTCCCGCCTTCTCCTCTTCTGTCAGAAGACTCTCGAATCCCTGGGCTTTCTCGTCCTTCGGTTCTCGCATTGTCATCGTGCGCTCATAGCGAACACGCGCGATTCGCTCACGAACCATCGTGATTTGACGCTCGCGCTCTTCCTATAGGAAAATATAGGAAAAGACATTTAACCTCGTGAAGGATAAAGACGTCAGACAGCGTTAGCGAAGTCAAGAAAAAGGAATTTTGAGTAAGAATAACAGACGAAGAGAAAAAGAGACAGAATGGCGAGAAATAAAACGGGATAGGAATGCGGAAGCCATAACCAAATGGATTTGTAATGGTGAGAGTTAAACACAAATCAATAATTAAAAAAAATCAAGAACTCAAAAAA